TATTTATACAGTCTTTATTTTACAGTTACAATATTTGTTTATCAAATAAAGTCTAATGTTACAACTAATCGGGGATCCCTTTAAATTGAGGATTTGAAGATATTTTGGTATAGTGTTCAGAGATGACTGTAGTTATAAATAGTCACTCTGTAAAGAAGCTGAAATTCAAACCTGTGATTTAAATACCCAAAGACTTTGTGTCTTAAAGTTGTGCCTCTCAGCTCGAGCCCAGTCTCAGTATAAGTCCATGTGTGTCAGAGGTTTTTCCYGCTGGTCGTATTGCCAAGCCCCTCTTTCTGTGACCGTGGATTATCTCCCGCTCTCCTCTCCCTCCCAGTCATCATAATTACATGTCTAATCTTATCAAACCTCAGCTTTACCCTTGCCAGTCAGCTCTCCTGCTACAGTCTTTTTCACAACTGTGATTCAAATGTATTCTCTTTAAGCACCTCCTTCCCCAGCTCCCTGCTCTTAACCCTCTTTTTCTCCYTCCTTGTCTTCTTCTGCTTCCCCTTGTTATGGCACCAGGGTCAACCTTGACCCTTCCAAGCGCCAGGGCTCAAACAAATCAGTCTCAGGCTGTACTCTTCCACAAGGATCAAAAACAGTTAGTAAGTTTCCATATCTCTTGCTTTTTTTTCTTGTCTGCTTGTGCTGCCCTATCTGGACGTTTGCCTTAATGCTCGACATGCATGTTCTGTGTGTGATCTTCAGTCTGTCCAGGTCCTATACACATAATTTCATGCATGGCTGCAATCATGGAGATTTGATTTGAAGTTTRACGTTCAGGGTCTGTGTCTTTGTTGAAACATTTCTACTCCTGTTTAGAAACATTCAAACTTAGTCATGAGTTTGTACAGGGCTGGACTTGGACAATTTATTGGGCCAGGCCGCTAGGGTTGGGCATCGAGTCTCGAGTATCGATTGGAACCGGGACTAATGTTTCATTTCTCCTGGAATTGTTTGTACTTTTAAATTTTGATACCTAGCTGCAATGCCTTGTCTGCCAACTGGAAAAAGAAGCCGCCCAACACCAATAAAGGAAAAAAAAAACAGGTGAGCAGCTGAACACCAATTTTAGTTGGTGTTCGGACTCAAATTGTCAAATTAAGTGAAATAATCTGCCGTTGCAGTAAGACAGTTGCACTTGGTAAAACATTTCCAGGCTAACAAGATTAATAATCAAATACATTCTGCTCTTGCTTACCCCTAATTTACACTACATGCGTTCCTGCTCCGCTTCGCTCCGGTCCGACCTCCGCAGCAAATACACACCCATTATAATCAATGGGAGTGTTTACACTGGCTGTGCACGGTGGCGGTGAGCAGACGGCAATCAGGTGAAATTAGAACAGATCCTATTTTTTGCCGGACGCCGGAGCTGCGCTGGAGTCAAGTTTTAAAAATTACGTCGCACCAACAGGAAAACAAACGAGCACAACATCCGTATTTTCAAAATAAGACACTTTTATGTGGGATAATTTGTTGGAATAATGTCGAAATTGTTATGAATTGGCAAAAATGAACCCAGGGTGCAGGCAGCTTCCAAAAGGAAAAAAAATAAAGATTTATTAAACAAAAATTGCTGACAGGGCAGCTCAAAAACTTGCTCACAAACATGCAGGCTGTGAACAGCACAATGATCAGGCAGGGAAGTGAAGACAAGACACAGAATATAAAGGTGAGACTAAGAAGCACAAACAGGAAACACCTGGGAGAGAAACATGAGGAGCAGGTCAGAGTGGGCGGGGCTGGAGCAAAGGCAAACAGGAGGAAGAAAACAGATGACAAGACAGAAACTAAAATAAAACATTAACACAGACACAAATCATAATATAGCCCCCCCCCCCACCAATAAGGGATGGCAGGAGCAGACGTGGAGCCAAGGGAGGAGGCAGGAGCAGACGTGGAGCCAAGGGAGGAGGCAAGAGCCAATGAGGAACCGGTGGAGGTTGAGGGATCCAGAGCCTTGGCGATGGTGACCAAAGGCAACAGAGGAGATGAAGAGGTGACGGCAGCCGAACCAGGCGACATGGAGGTGATAGCAGACGACCCAGGAACCTCAGGAGCACAGGGCTCAGCAGGAGACCCAACAGGAACCAGAGCTGGAGGGCCCACAGGAACCAGAGCTGGAGCTCCAGCAGGAACTGGAGCAGGAAGTCCAGCATCAGAGGGGTGGGGAGGGTGGGAATCAGAAACCTCCAGAACTGCCAGCTCTAAAGGACACCCTGAAGAAAAGAGTCCCCTAAGGCCAGCTAGCTCACCCTGCATCCCCTCCAGGAGCCCCAGGATCTTAGAGAGGGGAGAAGCTGGCAAAGCACAAATTGTGGGTGGAGAGGAGAAAAACTGCCTGTTGGGTTCAGTTGTTGGTCTGATCATTCTGTTAAGAATTGGCAAAAATGAACCCAGGGTGCATTCAGCTTCCAAAAGGAAAAAATAAAGATTTATTAAACAAAAATTGCTGACAGGGGAGCTCAAAAACTCACTTGGTGTAGCTAGGCAAGGCAAGGCAAGGCAAGGCAAGGCAAGGCAAGGCAAGACTAGGCTAGGCTAGGCAAGGCAAGGCAAGGCAAGGCAAGGCAAGGCAAGGCAAAGCAAGGCAAGGCAAGACAAGGCAAGGCAAGAAAAGAAACATACAGGCTGTGAACAGCACAATGATCAGACAGGGAAGTGAAGACAAGACACAGAATATAAAGGTGAGACTAACGAGCACAAACTGGAAACACCTGGGAGAGAAAACATGAGGAGCAGGTGAGAGTGGGCGGGGCTGGAGCAAAGGCAAACAGGAGGAAGAAAASAGATGACAAGACAGAAACTAAAAGAAAGCATTAACACAGACACAAATCTTAACAGAAATTGCAGCTATATTAATAAGTATATGGATATATTTCTACACAAATTCTGTCAGAATGTATCGTTCTGTTTGGGAAGCAGATGGAAATGTAGCATGAAGCATATGTGTACACACACGATACACGTGGATTTTATTTTGAAATCAGAAGTTTCTGAAAGACAACAGCGAGACAGTTTCAACATAGACACCAAAAGCCTTCATATCAATGTTTTCAGCTGTGTTTGGAGTCCGTCTTACACAGAATTAATGATTTTTTTGCTGTTATCACTGAATTTATCACGCAATCTCTTTCCTGCACACCCTGTCGGACCGGAGCGAAGCGGACGCTGTATAAATTGAGACACAAACGAACAGCTGCGACCTGCGCACCGCAGCGCAGCGGAGCAGAGACGCATGTGGTATAAATCCGGGGTTAGTCTATCATCTCAAAACAAGATGAAAAATACTCTTTGGCTGGATATAAGTGTACGATTTGGTTAGATGGAGAAGTTTTGAGGAGTACCCCTGTGTGAAAAATAAATTCATAACATCTGTCCATCTAGAAAGAACTCTGGCTCATTTAAACCATGTAACCTTTATTGACCCTGCCTCTAAAAAGAATCGAAATTGTGAATGATTGGGAGCCGCGAAATGAGGAACCAGAATCGTTTAAATTCAAATGATGCATAACCCTACAGGCAGCCCACCATGACTGGTCAGAAACAGTCCTTTTTAAATCCATGTGCAGCATTCCAAAGTGCCTATTAAGATAAGTCATATGTTCATGGACAAATGACAGTAACAAGTACACTTACTACTGACGGATAACATGGTCACTGATGATCAAGTACAATATTTACAAATCCAACCAATAATCAGTAAAATATGTCCTCAAACCGACCTTCAGAATGGTTGGAAACAGAGAAAAAGGTTAGTTAAGATAACTTCCATATTGAACTGTGTTTAATGGATGTTCGTGCCTTAATTGAGTGAGGAAAGGCAGCATGTTTCTCTCAATACAAGATTGACAAGAATAAACAAAACCAGGTGTTTTGTATGTGTCCAGCAGCCTTTCCAATTTTCAACACCTGTCCTTTGGAGGCTTTTAAAGGGCTGAAATAAAAAGAAAGAAAGTAAAAAAATARAATTCAATTAGAGGCATTAATTACATTTCTCCATGTGAGCATCGCTGCCCAAACTTAAGCCATTGCTTTTGGGCTCTACTGTAAAGGTTAAAGTCTGTCTATAGTTTTAGGGCAGTGGGAACAYAGTTCCAGAGTTTGAGAGCCTAGAAAGAGAAAGAAGCCTGTCCAAAGGATGTTTTAAATGTTGGGACAGTCGTCACTGACAGAGGCTCAGGCGGATGGATTGAGAGCGATATCTGACAAAAAGAGCGGTGGTGACGCATGACTGTTCAAACATTTAAAAACCAGTTTTAAAACACTAACATTCATACAATTTTGAAAGTAAAAGTTACTATTTGTTATTATATGACAGTGATGCTGTGTTATGTGTTTTTTTGTCCAGCACCTTAATTGTCTGGTTAAAGCAGGAGATGATTGGCTTCACTGTAGAATGAAAGGACCGTGAGTCACCATGATGGGATGCAGGAAGACAGGTGTGAGGAAAGTCATTGCATGTATGTACATGGAGGCAGCTTGGTCTGATAAACATCTTCTAATTTGGGATGCACAACATCTCGGCATTGATATCGGTATTGGCCGATATTGGTCAATTTTTAGAATATTGGTATCGGCCCGATATGTAAAACAGGGCCGATATTAATGTCCAATATTGATTTCCCAGTTTTTATCTTTGTGTTTCTGTTTTGGGAGGGGAGATGGTTGGTTGAGCAGCATCTGTTTGATCATGATAGTGATACTGATGCTGCAGCCAGGAATAACTGAAGTAGGGAGCCATGTCAGAGGTCTTGTCATTTATTTACAGCATCAAAAAAGACCCAAGTGTGTTTTTGCYTATATGAATAATATAATTTGTYTGTTTGTGTAATATCGGTAAATATCGGTTATCGGCCATAACACCAATAATTATATRGGATATCGGCTGAAATTTTCATATCYYTGCATCCCTACTTCTAATGAAGCAAAAATAGTTCAGACTGGATTTTACCTCCTTCTTGTATGCACTTTTGATTGGACTTTAAAACTTTAAGGTGTTTTCAAAACCGATCCCAAGGTATGTGCTTTCTGAAACTTCTTCAATAATTTCATTATTTCTGTGTGTTTGAAAAGGTGCTGTCAACTGGCCTTGTTCTGAATGAGAAACAAATGGAGACTGTTTTCTTTGTATTCAGAGTGAGATGGGACAACTCAYGCCACCAGGCCAGTGTCAACTGCTGCTCAGATCTCTTTTTCAGAGCCTTCCTGGGCCTGAAGGCAGACTAACATCATGTTGTTGGACTGACACAACCTAGAAGACATTTTGAACGGAACATTAAAGTTTTAGATGAGCAGAGTTACTGGAACAGATAAATAGTAGATTAACCTAAATTAAACCTAATATATATTTTCAAACATCAATGATCTTGTGATCCACTGACGTCAAGCTTTAACTTTCTTCCATTGTGATGTGTTTCCGGCCTCTTTCAGTTTGTTAGTTTAGGATGTTTGTCTCCAAAGGTTTAATGCTGGAGATAGACTTGGCCGGTCTAGAACCTTCTTGAGTTTTCTTTGTTTTTTGGGTTTTTTTTTTTTCAGTGTGTTTTTCTTCTTTAGACTAAATGTGTCTGTAGATTGTAGAATGTTATCGTTGATAAATGTCTAAAAAATTAGTGCCAGAAGTATTCTAGGCTCAGCTCTGGAGTTTTGGTTGATTCCAGTCTGGTCTTGCTCTTCTGTTCTTCTTCTGGCGTAGCCTCTGTGCTTTTGTTCAGGATGTTTTCTGTGAATGGCAGACAGTGATTCCTTCACTCTTGTTCTCTGAACTTTGTTGCTAACAGTTAAGTTGCCCTTTGAAACTTGATTTGATTTTATTTATTGATTAAACAGGAAAAGATTACTAAAAGTCAAGCCTGARTCAGCATAATTGCTGTTTTACAGCAGGTTCCTGTTCTGCAGCACATAAAACACTCAGAAWTACAGCATCACAATCACATCATTATACACCATAGACACAAAGACAAACAAGCATACCAAATTTCAGGAAGGCAGCATTTGCAAAATAGGACGTCTGAACYTGAGCACAACAAAAAGTGTCCAGCAGATGGCAGACAAGATTCTTCTTAAAGGGCTGTAGTTTTGAAATGGACTTTATGTTTTGAGGAATGTCATTCCATGCTTTAGTATAAACATAGAAGAAAGACCTCTGGCCGTAACAGTTTTTAAAAGTTGGTAATATCAGTTGTCCTTTTGTAACAGATCTAGTTGAATGACCACTTCCAYAATTTGATTTGGGCAACAATGCACAGAGAGTTCCATAATTAGCACCTTGGAACTCTCTGAGTTTCAGTCATCAACTGCTGATATTTCCTCTGTCGTACTGTTGGACACCTGTCACTGAGCCCACCAGTAGTTTCTTCTCCAGGACACTCCAGATGGTTGGACTGGGCATGGCCAATGTATGAGACGGCTCTCTGGCTTCATGTTGGTTTCTAGAAGTGAGGTCTACACAGCCAAAACCCACATCTGAAAGTGAGAGGAGACACAGTCATTTAGCTGATTAGTTATTGTTTATGCAACGTAATACGACAAACCTGGGCAACATAAAGAACACCTGTCAGTCACGTTTCAGTACTTCAATCTGATATTAAACTTTGAATGTCAAGCTAAATGCTCCAGTACTTGTAGTGGGATGTGTACTGTATGTACACATAACATGTTGTGTCAGCCAAACTTCACTTAAAATGACACAGGAGTTTCATAACACAGTTTCAGCTCAGTAACGATGCTGGTTAAAACAGTTAAAACTAGATATTTTGCTAACATTACTACTGACTGGTCAGCTCCCCTGCTCTGGTTGGTGCAGAACATCTGCTGTAGAACACAAAGCTATAACAAACATTTGACAGCACCTACTTGCATATTGCTCTGTTTTGCAGTTTTTCTTCCCTTTTTAACTCTTCAGGGTGTGCCATTCCTTTTCTACCTACTCATGCCAGAACCGTGAGAAAGTCCAGGTAAAGGTAGAGGAGTACCATGTACAGAAGTAACCTATGAGATATGACTGGGCTAGCCAGTAAGAAATGGGCATCTGCTCATTATTTATGGTCCTGTCAGTTATAAAATATGCTTTTCAGCCTCCCAGTCTGCCCTACTACCAGTCCAGCCCTGGTTTTGTGCAACAAAATGAGCACTGAGTGAAAATGTAAAGAAATAGCCTTCAGGACAGCGGTAATGTCTGCATGCCGGACTGATTGTGATTTGTTTCCRTGTAAGATGCACAGTGTTCTTCTCATCATTTGCTTGTTTGTTGTTGGAAAACATTTGTTTTTTATTTTTTTGTAGAGCATCAGTTTCTGAACATCATCTCATCTGAAAGCAGGGAATCAGTTTTAGAGTTTTTTGTGTTCTAAAGGATTTACCTTTTTTCGGTCTGCCCCGCAGGGTCACAAATGAATCTGAGGGAATCAGGAGATTTGCGGTCACAAGGTAAGTAGCTGTGTTTCACGTGCTTCCAGAGACCAGTAATACCAGCTGTGGCTCAACTCCTCCACATTCTCTCCTAGTTGCCATCTACCTGGGTATCAAAAAGCGTCCGAGCCCGGGGCCGTCGGACGTAGCTGGAATCTGAGAGGCTGTGGGCGGCGAGACCCTGTGGAGGTGGTACTGGCTTTGCGGGAGGCGGCYCTCAGATGTGGCTGCCAGGTCCACCATTCCGGCCCCTTTCTGCTCTCCTGCACCCACGGCACTGCAGGGGGCCGCGTGGCTTTTGAAGCAGAGGTGTGCCACCTCTCCACAGGCACATCAGAGACTTCTAATGGGGTGCGCTACACGCGACTCTGGGGGGTGCCACTGGCATTTCGGGACATTGCCACCCAAATCTCGAAGGACCTTYAACTTTGAAGAAGGGGGGGAGGGGGGGTTGTGTTCCAGTGTGTGTTTTTTGTGTGTTTCTGTGTGTGTGCAAAGGGAATTAGAAAAGGGTTTGGGGACAACAAACAGGGCAAGGGGCTGGACCCTTTCAACATGAACCCTCCCCCCCAAAAAATAAAAACACACAGTCACACATCTGTCCCGTAAAGTAACACAAACAGAAGCGCCCCCTGTCCACCCAGCTTAGCCAGCTTCTGCAGCCCTGGATCTGGATCAGATGGAACCAAGCTGAATATTTTTCTTACTGCTCCGAGCCATAATGACTCTTTATTTAGTTTCACACTCATCTTTCTTTTCATCTTAATCACTCCAGAAAAGACATCCCTCATCAGGCAGACTGATTGCTGATCCCCCAGCAACATTCATTCCTCGTTCTTTTTTCCTCCCAGAGATTATCTGCTGACCTTTGAACTTTGGGGGACAGTAATGTGCACATATGTGAAGACGATTCAGTTCAGTGATCCGGCGAGCGTCAGCAGATTGCTCATTGCTTTCATTCCTGTACACACAGTGGTGATGCCTGCTTTGGATTAAGGTCAGTGGGAGTTGATGTTTTTTGTAACCAGCCAATCAGAGAGCAGTGTGGAGTAAAAACAACCAATCTGAGAGCAGTTTGGAGCAAAAACAACCAGTCAGAGAGCAGTGTGGAGTAAAAACAACCAATCTGAGAGCAGTTTGGAGCAAAAACAACCAATCGGAGAGCAGTGTGGAGTAAAAACAACCAATCTGAGAGCAGTTTGGAGCAAAAACAACCAATCAGAGAGCAGTGTGGAGTAAAAACAACCAATCAGAGAGCAGTGTGTAGTAAAAACTACCAATCAGAGAGCAGTGTGGAGCAAAAACAACCAATCAGAGAGCAGTGTGGAGTAAAAACAACCAATTTGAGAGCAGTGTGGTGTAAAAACATCCAATCAGAGAGCAGTGTGGAGAAAAAAACAACCAATCAGAGAGCAGTGTGATGTAAAAACAACAGATTATAAAGCAGTAGAGAGTCAAATAGCCAGTGTGGAGTAAAAACAATCAATCAGAGAACAGTGTGGTGTAAACACGTCCAATCTGAGAGCAGTGTTGAGTAAAAACAACCAATCAGAGAGCAGTGTTGAGTAAAAACAACCAATCTGAGAGTAGTGTGGAGTTAAAAAAAGACAATGTGGAGGAATAAACAGGCATGTAGGGATAAATTCAGACCCCAAAGAGCCAGTGAGATCTTAAACTTAATGAACTGATTGCGTTGACAGCTTCTCGTTCACATTCCTTTGACCTGACCACAAATGGAAARATTTTCAGAACACAAACATCTGTTTTTCTATAATGTTGCAGCTGGGTTGCTGTTATTTTTAGTCTACAAGGTGCTCATAGTAAAAATCACTCACTTCTCTTACATTTATTGACCAATCATAGTCTTCTGCATGCCAAGGCATTTACTGTCCCACTGCTTATAACTAAAAGGTTTAAAATGTTCTTTCAGCTCTACACATTAAATATCTTAAATCAAAAAATCACAAAAAAATGTTTATTCTGTGAAAAGAGTAAGATTTTCTGTAGTGTGGGTTGAAAAAGACTGACAGCTGTTTTAATGGACCTCATCTTAAAGGTTTATAGGATTTAAAACATAAATCTAAAAACTTATAGAAGGGGAAAGGCAACTGTTCTGACAGGTTTACTACAAAACTAGTTAAACTTTTTTAACTTTACTGTGATGCTTTTTTTTACATCTCTCATCCAGTTAAATTTACTGAAACAAACTAATCTTACTGGATACTGCACTTAGATAAACAGCTAGTTATAAATTATTGGAAAGTGAAGAATATAAAAACTACAGAAAATAAATTTTGAGTTAATGAAATGTTGTCAGTCCTTTGAACAGCACATTGGTTTTCTCTGTGAATATATTGGTTTTCCTCCTGGAGGGGATGCAGTTTATTCCCACAGTCCAAAAACTCTGAAGGTTTAATTAATTAGTGATTTTTATTCATCCTGAGTTGAGGCGTTTTTTCTCCACAAGAGGTTCCAGTTCTAGAGCAGGTTCTTAAATGGTTCCATTTAAGAACAGCTGATTGMTTTTTCAGCCAACTCAACTCAGAGKTARATGATTACATCACATGAAACACGTGTATCTTCCAGTAAATGACAGAGGGACATTTTACATTCACAGATCACAGAGTTTGGGTCTTAATATCACTCGTTTGAATGGTGCTGTAAAGTTTTCTTTCTGTTACCTGTAGATAGAAATACACACCTGTGCGGCTAACGCACATAGGAGGAGCATAAAATCCATTTGAAATGTCTAACAGGTAGTTTTATTCAGAATGAGAAGAAAACAGTTTGAACTAGACATGGGTTTTTACGATGTAAAAACAAGTGTGCATTGCCACGTAGCATGTCATTGCAGCATGGCTTTGCCGGCAGCGTTGGACTTGCAGAATGAACTTTGACCAAGTTCAAATGTGTTTTCTATACCAGCTTGTGCCTGTCACATCAGCAGGTGTTTAGAATTAAGGTAATTGTGTGACAAAATGAAGTTTGAAGAGATTTTTTCTTAAAGTTGCATTAGCCAGGTTTTGAACCCTGATCTCCCACATGAAAGTCCATGACATAGACCATTAGACCAATGGAGCTGTGGCAGAAGGTGGTGGCAGGGGTTGGTTTGTATGTGTGCAGAAAGAGGCCACATTGCCAATACAATTATTGACACTAAACTGCATAATATTACAACAATAGAGCAGTATTAAGACAATATTATAGTAAAACATCAAAATACAATCATATTCGTACTGTAAACACTGAACATCTGAGTTGAAATATTAAGCTATGGTGCAGTACCAAGTTGAGTACAGCATGGGGCAGTATTGGACCAATACAAGGCTCCATTGACTGCCGTTATAATTTATTAAACATTAATATTTCATAAACTATAAATTTTACAGGCACCAAAAGGCATAGCCATCATTTGGCACAGGGACTTTATAGATATAAATTACAATGGCAGCTCTAGGACAAAGTATGCAGGAGGAGAYGCYTGACAAAGTTGAGATGACTTGGATGGGAAACGAATCACAATAGTGTGCATTGCATTGGCAATGCACACTGATTAGAGCACGTCAGGTGTGATGACTCCTCACATGTAGGTGTAACAACGAGCATAAACAGCTGTGTAAYGTTGAAACAGTGACACCTGTAGTGCTGCGTCCGTATGATTCTCAGTTAATGAGAAAGTATGAAGGAAAGGAGCACAGAAACAAACGTTCGGTTTGATAAATCTGAATATTTCRGTGTGTACACACTTTTCCACTTTGTACACCACCTTTCAGCATGAAAGCTGCACTCTTGGAWACATGAGGCCTTAGTTTTGTTTACAAACACTGTTTGAAACAACAGTTGCTGTTTGTGGATTCTCATTTCTGATCTTCTGATTTACATTTATACATTTATAAATGCTGCTGCAGACAGGAGTTACACACAACGCTTCAGCAGCATCCCTAAACACCTTGTGAGATTAAAAAGAGCTGAAAATGTTTTTTTTTTCAAAGAGTGTTTATGAAATCTACGGAGCCCGCCCAGTGACATGGAATAAATAATGTTTTCACATGCRCACGCAATGACTAACGCATGTGCATGCAATAATTATGTCATGGCCATCAGCTAATTATTGTCATTTCTGTACAGATTGGTCGTTGTTTACATGGACAAGTCRGACTTAAACTAATTTATTTTGATTTTAATTGAATGAATGATGTTGCTACATCAGCACCTTACATTCTTAGTTTTATGTGCTGCAGCTATAAGTCCCAGGTGACAACTGGAGTTGTTTATTTGTCGAAAAAGCTTTTTTTTTTATGCTCAACTTTCGAAAGTTGAGCTGAGGTGAGGAAGGAGTCGGAGTTTTGCTGTGTTCAGGAACGCAGCAAAAATCTGTTTCCCGACACACAACTATTGTCATTTCATAAAAAACCTAGTAGGAAAGATTTATATTGGCATACACCAAATAATAATAATAATAATAATAATAATAATATCCTGATGCATCTCAGTAATCCAAGAAAAAAATCAAAATGAAAAAAAATTGTATAGGTCCTCTGGAC